ATCACGATCAGAAATATCAGCCTCAGCATCAGCATCATCAGCATCATCATCATCGTCACCATAATCATAATCATCATCATCATCATCATCATCATCATCATCATCATCATCATCAGCATGATGCCGATGTTCTCCACGACCACGGCGCAAGGGAATAGCAACAGACCTGCCAGACACGCCCGAGCCGCTGGATGCAGCGCGGCGGCGCTGCGGGGCCCCTTTCTCCTCCGAGCTCTCTTTCGCACGACGGCCATGTCCTGGCATCGCCGTCGCGTCAGCAGGAACTGGAAACTCCACAGTTTTACCCACTTGCGAGACTGCCAGTGGCAACACCGAGCGGGGAGAGAAAGGGGGGATCGTGTGGGAGGCCCGAGCCCGACAGTGAAGGCCAACAAACACTGCCAGGCAGAACTGCCTTGCCTGCCTCAAACCAGAGGTCTCCACTCGATGTCACGAGGAACACATGACCTTGAGCCATAACGGCTACGGAGAGCCGTCAAGAGGAGGAGGACGACGACGAGGAAGGGAGGAGGACAAGGCGGGAGGAGGAGAAGGATAGGGCAGGAAAAGGAGGAGCAGAGGGACGAGAGGACGTACGCGAGTCGGGAGAAGGGGAGGGGTTCGTCCTGCGGCCATCTTGGGCCATTCTTGCGGGTCTCTTGGGCCATCTTGGAAGCGCCTCCTGGGTTCGGTGGGCTCTCTGGGTACCGTCTTGAAGATGATAGTGCAGCGCAGTGAGGTCGGAAACAAAGGAGAGGCCTTGTGGAAGGTGCCTGAGGCTTCTGGGAGCCCTCGGGGGCTCTTTGGATGCCTCTGATGGCACATGTTGGGCAATCTTGGGGGACTGTCGGAGACGTCGGGGGCGTCCTGGAGGCCGCGGGACCCGTCCCACGGCCAACTTGGACCGTAGTGCGGTCCCCCAGGGCCGTCTCGGGACCTCACTCTAGGCATTCGTGGGGGAGTCCTGGACGCTGGGCGTCTGGGGGCGTTCTTGGGCAATCCCGGGGCCGTCCTGGAGTCTGCTGCAACCGTCTGGGGGTGGTCCAAGACGCCCCTGGGTTCGCCGTGGGCCACAGGAAGCTCGAATTGGGGAAAAAGCGCAACCCTTCCCACACCCACGGGAAATCAGAAGTGCTTGCCTCGGGCGGCCCCTTTGGGATCGCGCCGTGGCCACCTTCAGGCTATTTGGGAGCCATCCTCAAAGCTCTTTGGAGGCCTCTGAGAGCACAGGTTGGGAAGTATTGAGGGACTGTCGGAGGCCTCTGGGGCGTTTTGGAGGCCGCGTGCATCGTCACAAGAAACTTGTGGAACGGCTTGCGGTCCCTCGGAGCCGTTTCGGGCGCCTTCTCTTGCCTTCGGGGGGATTCCTGGACGCCGTCTTGGGGCACTTATGGGTGTATGGGGGCCCTCTCGGGCAATTGTGTGGCCGTTCTGGAGTCTGCTGCAGCTGACTGGGGCGCCTCCTGGTTCGTCGTGGGCCACATGAAACTCAAAATAAGGAGAACCCTCACATTCTTTACAAACCAACAACACATCGTAGGTTTTGCCCCTGGCGGCCCCCTGGGGGCTCTTGTGAGCCTGCTGGGTCGTGTCCACACCTTGCCATATGTGTGGCGCAGGAGGTTGTTCCACACCTTGCGATTGAAGTTGAAAAGAAGCTCCGAAGCCAACCTTATGGAATGTTTCGAGCGAGCGTGTCGTTTGAAGTATATGAAAGCATCTTTGAACACGTCAGATTTCAATGTCGGTGAGATGGCTCAAGCAAAACAACTGTTTTTCAAAGAGCGGCATCCAACAACATTGAAATGCATGGTATGTTTGAGAAGGTTAGCCCAACACATTGAAAATCCACTGTGTTGGACTGTGACTTCGAGATCTGCGTGAGAGGTGCGACCGAGTTTCAGAATGTTGAGGATGTCCCAAGCGAAACGGCCAAACAGATCGCGAGCGGGACCTGCAATTAATCCTCTCTGAGCTCCTCGGAGAGGTGTGCATGAATACATGTGCCGACTATAAATGTATATAGCGAGAGGGCGAGGGAGAGAGAGACAGAGACAGAGACAGAGAGAGGGAAAGAGAGAGAGAGGGGGGGAGCAGCTGGAGGAGAGGCTATCTGCTCTTGTGCAGGCTGGAGCGCCGCCGCAGGCCCCACTCCGGCGGGGGCGAGCTCGTAAGGGCTTTACCCGACTGCGCCCGTGCCTCTGGGGCCGGGGGCTGGCGCCGCGAGGCGTCGGCAGAGCGCAAAGCCGCACTGAGGTAGGTCATTCTGTCCGAGCCCCGATCAGGGGTTCGCTTGGGAGCTGGCTGCCGTCTCGGCAATCCTGCGGCAGTGGCCCACACGGGACCTGGGCGAAGGCCCGTCGGTGTAACTGAGTTGAACTGAGTTGGCGCTGGTGGCGGCACCCTCCCTGCAGCCATAATCCAAAATTCATGAGACCACCCATGTTTGTCTTGTACAATCGGGTCTGATTTGCAGGTCGCCCCTGCCAATTGCAGGGTACCCTTGTGTCCTGTGTCTCGCGAACCCTGCCTCTCACACCTCGCCATCGCTCGGACGGCCATTCCCCGTGCATTTTTCGATCTCGTGCGTGTAATTTTTCGCAGAGGGTCCCAGATGCTCATCGATGGTACTCGCCGAAGCGAAAATGCACACGTCCGAGCGATGCCAAGACATTCCTATGACAATGTGGCCCTCGGAAGGGTCTGGGGTCCTCTCGGGTGTCCTGTCAGATCGAGTCCGACTGTAAACAGCCGCCCAGGCGCCCCGTCGGAGCAGGGTAGGAGCGCCCTGGCACTGCGGACCACACCAGCAAATCGCGGCTCGCGCATGTGGCAGCACAGCGGCCGTGTGCGCGGCCGGCCAGCTTTTGGCAGTCGAGCGCCCTGGCATGTGCGCAATCCCGATGGCCCTGCCGACCCCGCAGGCACAACGCGGACGCCACGGCAACGAAGCTAGTCAAAAACACACGACCGCTGCGGACCCGGGAGGGCGGAGAGACGAGGGAAGGAGAAAGGAAGAATGGAGTGAGGAACCCGCGCGTGCGCACACTGCGAACACTCACTAGCAACACTCTTTCCGTTTTCCCTCACGGGTGCGCGCGCCACGGGGGCGAAAGAGAGAGAGAGAGAGAGAGAAACAAAAAGAGAGAGAGAGAGAGAGAGAGAGAGCGAGCGAGCGAGAACAAACATACTGAAAGCAAAAGCGGGTCACGGTAGGTTCACGGCCAAAAGCCCTTCCTGCACGCACCTCCAACATCATAACATGGTAATTGCGATACGCCCATCTGGAGACCTGGGGGAATGCATCCAGACCAACATTCCTTGACACGCTCGCGGCCGCCTCGAGCAGCCCGTGCAGTCCCTAAAAGTCAGGCTGGACAGGGCCCCAGAGCTGCCAGCCTGCGCCCACAAAGTGCATAAAACGTGCACCTTTCTTCACCCCCGTTACCGTTCTTCCGCTGTCGTTGTCGTCGTCGCTGCAGTCTGTCATCATCGGTTGTCGTGGCCGTTGCCATGGTCGTTGTCGTGAACGTTGTCGTACGCCAAATGTTGTGGTCGTGGTCGTTGTCGCTGCCACCCCCCCGTTGTCGTCAGTCCGAGGCGGCGAGGGCGGAGAAGCCTGGGCACTACTAGCATTGGCCACGCGGCGGCAACGACGACGCCGACGGCGACGACAACCACGACGACGACGACGACCAGACGACCAGGACGACGACAGCACCGCCAGACGACGTCGACGCCAGATGACGCAGGCCGCGGCGAGGGCAGACAGGGTGGACATTGTCGTGGGGGCACAAAGCGTGGGGGGAGTCGGGGTGCAGGAACAATTTCCCTGATAAGCCCTTGAACTGCCGCCAGGGTTTTAAAACTTGCTGGAAGAGCAGCAACTCTATTCTAGAGAAAGAAAGAACCAACACAAACATAAACTGTTGTAGGTCCGCGTGGATTTCTCGGATCCACGCTGGACCCCCATCCCTGGCGCTCAGAGCGCCAAGGGCGGCGCCTCCAGCGCCGCCACACCACGTGCATTCCCACGTGTATTCCCCCATATCACTTTCCGGCCAAGGCGAGGGCGGAGAAGCCTGTGTCCCACTGGCCCGGGCCCCGCGGCGACGACGACACGACGATGCCAACAACGATGACGACGACGCCGACGCCGACGACGCCAGCAGCGGCTGCGAGGGCGGAGGAGCCTGGGCCCCGCAGGCCTGGGCCCTGCGTTGGCCAGCCCCACGGGCCTGGGCGCCGCCGCCTTCGGGGGGCGCCGCCGCCGCCGCCGTCGAGGTCTTCGTCATCGTCGTCGTCGTTATCGTTATCGTCGTCAGCGTGGCCGTCGCCGTCGTCGTCGTCGTCGTCGTCGTCGTCGTCGTCGTCGTCGTCGTCGTCGTCGTTATCGTCGCCAGCGTCGTCGCCGTCGCCGTCGCCGTCGCCGTCGCCGTCGCCGTCGCCGTCGCCGTCGCCGTCGCCGTCGCCGTCGCCGTCGCCGTCGTCGTCGTCGTCGTCGTCGTCGTCGTCGTCGTCGTCGTCGTCGTCGTCGTCGTCCAGAGGAGGGGCGTGTAGGGGGTCTGGACGGGGGGAAGGAGGGAGGGGGATTCAGGACTTGGGCGCCCGCGAAACAACCCCATCCGGGGATCGGTGCAGGGTGCACAGCGCCGAGACGCGAAGCAGACCAAGGACGTCGGGGGGAGAAGAGCAAGGAGGCAGGAGGGGCACGGGGGCGTGCGGGAGAGACTGGGCAGGCGAGGCGGAGCGGTAGGAGTCGAGTAGGGGATCGACTACAGAATTGATGCACCCGAAGATTAACTTGTTCGTCGAATCTACGAAGAGTACGTGTAGAATGCTCCGTAGAGCATTCGATGCGTTCGTTCGTAGATTCGACGGACAAGCAGTTCTGGGGTGAATCAATTCTGCAGTCGATCGCCTGCTCGAAGGAGGGGCCGCCGCCTGCGGCTGCGGCCTCCTCATGGCCATCGGGGGCTGCGCCGCCGGGGGCTGCGGCCTCATGGGCTACGGCTCCGCGCGGCGCTGCTTCCCGGCGCGGCTCCGCTCCGCTCCAGGTCACGCTGGCACGGCCCCCAGCGTGTACGGGAAGGGCGGGGCGCGCGAGAGCCCGGAAGGATTGCGCCCCAGAAGCTGCCGAAGAGGCATCGCGCCAGTACGAGCATTTGTTGTCTGTTTGTTGCATTTTTTTTGCCCAGCCGCGCGCCTGGCCCTGCTCTGAGCAGGCCCGGCCTCCGTCTCCCCCTCGCCACCGCCGGGCGTCCTCCTCCTCCCCCCTCGCGCATCGCGGCCTACTTTGCGTTCGTTTATCCCACCGGCGCCCTCTCCGCCAGCGCAGTCCTCCTGCCTGGCCGCCGACGTAAAAGTATGTTGTTTGTGTTTTTTGTTGTTGTTTCTCTCTCTCTCTTTTCTCTCTCTCTCTCTCTTTCTCTCTCTCTCTCTCTTTATCCCTCTCTCTGGGATCGGCGGGGCCGTGAGATCTGGGCTCGGCGGAGGCTGCCTTCAGACACCGCCTGCGGGCCACGGCCCTCAGGACAACCCCCCCCCCAAGGCCAGGACGTGCCGCCGCTGCTCCTCCCAGGGCTCCTCCATGGGGGCCCTATGGACTTCGTGGGAGGTGCCCTGGAGACCGTGGGGGCACCCCTGGAAATGATGGGTACCATTCCGATGGGCGGATGCCACACCACCACTACCATGTGGAGGAGGAGGAGGAGGAGGAGGAGGAGGAGGATCTCCCAATCCTCCCTTCTACCCCGTCTTACCTGTGGTAGTGGTGGTGGAAAATTGGCCCGTCACATTCGACCAGGGGCGAGTCTGGCTAGCAACGCCCGGTCCTGCTCCCGACCAGCCTCTGGTGCCGCCTCGGACCCAGACTCCCAGACTCCCACACGTCCCCGGGAGCCTTCAGAGGCCTCCACGGGGCCCAGGGGCACTCTAGTTCCGCGGCGGCAGACCCCCGAGCTCCGCGGGGGCACACTCAGCACCTCCCCCCCGTCGAGTGCACTGCGCAGCGCCCTCGGGCCCGCTCGCCCGAGGCGTTCGTTCTGCTCGCACGGGGTGCCGCTCGCCAGCTCCGTGCATGACGGGACATCCAAGCCTCACTCGTTGGCGCCCTCGACCGTTCCGTCGCGCCCTCGGTCGGGGACGCCCCGGGGACTCCCGAGGCGGCGTGGGAGCGGGACCGCAAGGCTCCGCTGGCTGGCCAGGAGGGTCGCCGTGCGTATAGCCGTCTGGCGGGGGACACCAGCTGACCACTCACCGATCCTGGCCAAGATCGGCGAGGTGCTGACCACCTCACCGATCCCGGCCAAGATCGGTGAGGTGCTGACCACTTCACCGATCCTGGCCAGGATCGGTGAGGTGGTCAGTTGACGCCCCCCCGGAAGCTGCGCGCAGATCGAGCAGACCGCCGAAGTGCGTGCGATAGGGGAGAAGTCATCGACGTCGGCCGAGTCTGGAGAGGGGCGAGGGCGGGGCGCGGGCGGGTCTGGGCCCCCCCTGCGCACGGGCCCACAAGATGCGGCCGACAGTGTGGCACGCCCCCAGCACCCCCCGGGGGCCTGAGCATCCGCACCCGAGCTGGGGCAAGAACTCGGCAGGCCCGACTGTCGCGATTCAGGGGGAACGAAATCAAACTGCACATGTCGCCGCGCCCTCTGTCCTCGACGCGCTCAAGTGGACGACGCCGACACCACGGCAAGCCCACGGCAAGCCCACGGCAAGCCCTGCGCCCAGCGCCCCAAGTAGACGACGCCAGCTCGACGCCGAGCCCACGGCAAGCCCACCGCGCCCGAGGCGGCGTTTACCCTGGTGGCAGCGGCGCCCTCCCCAAGACGCATGGCCGCGCGTCGGAACGAACGGCGCCGCGACACATGAACTTTCAGAAGTCCGTGCGGATTGAAGCTGCGGAGGTGCCTGGGGGGCCTGGCGCCGGGGAAGAAAGCTGCGCGGACCTAGTAGATTCAATGTTATGTCGTGTTTTGTTCTTGGATGGCCGCGATTCTTAATGATCCCAGCGGAGGTCAGCGCTGGATCCCCCGTGGCGGCGCCTTTGGCGCCGCCACTGGCGAGCTGCGCGCGAAAGTGGAGGGGTGCCCCACGCCGACCAGAGAAAAACGTGCAGATCTCCAAGCGCATTTTCTCAAAATAGGCATGCCATATAGGAGTCCTAACTCATCATACTAATTGGTCCGTTGCCCCCCCCCTAATTCCTATGCCCCCCTAATTCCTATGGCTATGCCTATGCCTATGCCTATGCCACCCGTTAATTCCTATGCCTACGCCTATGCTTATGCCTGCTTGCTTGCTTGCTTGCTTGCTCGCTCGCTCGCTTGCTTGCGCGCTTGCACGCTCGCACGCTTGCTTGCTTGCGCGCTTGCTTGCACGCTTGCTTGCTTGCTGAGTTGCGGATTACAAGCATGCTTGATTCCTCTGATTCCTTGATTTGAGTCGTCTAATCTACTTGGAGTCAACGCTGGCTGATATGTTTATACCGTTATAGCTTCTTTATGGGTGCTCGAAGCGTTATTGTTTGCCAATTACAAATTTAGATTACGTCTTATAATTTGATACCCGTTCGGGTGAAACGGGCGGGAGGCGCGACTCATGACGACGCCGGCGGAGGTCGGGCTCTCTGTCGGAAGCCTTCGCGACCCACCTAGGATGACGCTGATGAAGATGGTGGTGATGATGACGACGATGAGAATGACCCTCACAGAGGGCCACTTCTCGCCGTGGATACACGTTTGATTTCCCGGGGGGGACCTAAGAACCAGCCAGCCCGATGATGGGGTGAAGATATGGGGGGACCGGCATAAGGGGGGGAAACATCGACCTGGAATCGGCGATACATCGCCGATAGATCGGCGGAAGGCCCCCGGTTGCAAATCCGCGCGTTCGGGGCTATCAGACCCCTATCGGCGATCATTGGGAGATTGGAGGTCGATGCATCCCTCCCTAGTCCCACAGTGCGGACGCGGCCGCAAGAAACCCTCGCAAGAAACCTAGCCCTGAAAACCCGCACGCGAGCGATGCACACGGGGTGAACCTAGAGCACCCTGAACGCAGCAGTTTTTGTCAACGGCCGCGGGAAGTCACCGCGCAGCGCGCGGAGCGAAGAAACCCAGGGTACCCTCAAGAAAAGCATCCGGTTTCTCGATGCGCGCCCCTCATGTATCGTTGACCCAGACCCGAAGTCTCGGCTGGCGTCTGCAGCCGAAGCCCTGGCGGCCGACCAGGCTGGCCCGTGGCGCTGCGGGCGATCGCTGCGCCGCCGCCGCGGTCAGCGGCCAGCGCGACCGTGGCAGCGGCGGCCAGCGCCCTTCCTGTTTCCTTCTTCCTTCCTGCTCGCTTCTCCTCCCCTCCTCTCTTCTCCCCCCCCCTCCTCCTCCCTCTGCCCTCCTTCCCCCTCGCTCGATCGAGCGATCGCGGCTGCGGCGGGCGATCGCTGCCATTGCCACGGTCGGCGATCGCCCGCTGAGGCGCGGGCCGCGGCCGCGCCTGCCGGGGGTTGCTGGAGGTGCCGAGGAGGAGGAAGAGGAGGAGGAGGAGGAGGAGGAGATGGAGGAGGAGGAGGAGGAGGAGGAGGAGGAGGGGGAGGAGGAGGAGGAGGACCAGTGTAAACCCAAGACGCATCAACGATGTTGGAATAAACCCTCCCTCCAAGCTCCCTCTGCACAGGCCTACAAGGGTTCATTTCCACTGAGGGAACTGCCTCGTTAGGAGGCAACCATTTGAAGACTCTGAATCGTGCCAAAACACAATTCTCGGGACTCCAACGCCACGAGTCAACATGAAAGTTGCGTCTTGACGATTCAGAACCGTGCCTGAACACCATTCCTGGGACATCGACACCGCGAATCAATGTAACTGTTACGCCCTCATAATCCGGAGCCCTTCCAAAACACAATTTCTGGCACGATGGCCATGGGAATCCGTGAAACTCTTGCACATGTTTCAGACGAGTGTGCGCGGCGCTAATGCGAGAACCACATTTTGAAAACGACCCGCCCTCAATCCGCGAAGCCCTTGCATCTTTTTAGAACGAATGTGCGCGGCGCTAAGGCGAAGGCCACATGTTGGAAAAGAACCGCACTCAATCCGTAAAACTCTTCGGCTTTTTGAAACGAATGTGCGCGGCGCTAGGGCGAGAGCCACATATTGCAAACCACGCGCCCTCAATCTGTGAAACTGGTGCCAATTTTGAAGCCTCAGGGTCATGAGTGCGGAGCGCCCGGCCCGCCCTTTCGACCGGCCTCGGGGTGCGACAGCGAGAAATACTCATGAGGAAAATTAGCGGAGGAGGAGGAGGAGAAGGAGGAGGAGGCGGACGAGAAAATGAGGAGGAGGCACGCGGAAATTAGAATGACACGAGGACGGGGCAACGAGCAGGACGAGGGGGGTGCCTCGTGGGGGAGGGCCTCCCGCCTCCCTGGAAATCCGTGGGGGGGGGGGCACCCCGGGCCAGGGGGGCATTCTGTGGCGGCACCCGAGGCCTGCTGCGCCGCCGCCAGGTGCTGCGCCCCAGGCCGCACGGACGGCGGCCGCGGCTGCCCGCCCCTCGGCGGCTGCGCGGCCAGCCGGTGCCCCGCCGGGCGCCGCTCGTGCTAGGCCGCCCGCCTTCGAAGAATCGAGGGTCTCCTCCAAGGCTCGATTCGAGGCTCTCCAAAGATCCCCAAGGATCAAGGATCTCCAAGGATCTCCAAAGATCTCCAAGGATCCCCAAGGATCTCCGAAGGATCGAGGATCTTCAAGGATCCAGGGATCGCCGATATCCGAGGGATCTCCAAGGATCGAGGATCGAGGATCTCGAAGGGTCGAGGATCCAGGATCTCCGAAGGATCGAGGATCGAGGCTTTTGACGTTGCGTGAGCCTTCTGGGCCCCCTCGAAGTGCTCGTGCAGTGGATCGGCTACAGAACTGATTTACCCCAAATCTGATTGCCTCGTCGAGTCTACGAACAATACACGAAGTGTTCGTAGATCAGCAGAGACCGCGCACTCACGTGCGCGCGCGCAAACGCTCACACACGCACGAGTGTGCGTGTGGTATGTGTGTGTGTTTGTGTGTTTGTGTGCGTGTGTGTGTATTGCCGCGCAGGTCCCCTGGGCTGGCCACACCACCAATCTGCCTAGCAACAATTTCTTTGCGCTGCTCTGTCTGACACCGCTCTGGTGATGCAGTGGCCACAATTAGCCTCGGGCTGTCGCGCTTCAGTTTACTTTGAGTTTAGTGTGTTCCTCCTCTTCTGGCCGCTACATGTCTCGTTTGGGCTTACAGTTCCTCTAACACACCCATCTCTTGCATTATGCAGTGCTCAACGCTTGTACGCTGCGCAATCGGCAAGGTTCGGTCGCAATGAGCACTTCCGTCTGATGTTCGCGCTTGACGACCCTCTGCGCCGCTGAAGTAAGAAGTGCGTGTGTGTGTGTGTATGTGTGTTTGGGGGGGGGGGGGGGGGCGCGTGCGTGCGTGCGTGCGTGCGTGCGAGCGCGTCTGCGTCTGCGTCTGCGTGTGCGTGTACGTTTGTCTGTGTGTGAGCGTGTGTATATGGGTGTATGCCATGTATATGCGTGTACGCGTGTGTGCGTGTGTGCATGTGTGCGTGTGCGTGTGCGTTTGCGTGTGCCTGTGCGTGTTTCCGTGTCCGTGTCCGTGTCCGTGTGTGTGTGTGCGCGAGAGTGTCTGTGTGTGTGTGTGCGTGCGTGCGTGCGTGCGTGCGTGCGTGCGTGCGTGCTTGCCTGCGCGCGTGCGTGCGTGCTTATCTGCGCGAGAGCGTGTGTGTGTGTGTGTGTATGTGTGTATGGGTGTGTGTGTGTGTGCGTGCGCGCGTGCGTGCGCGCGAGCGTGCGAGCGCGGATGCGTGCGCGCGTTCTATGTATGAATTTCTGTCGTTGATCGAAGACGAAGGTTCTGGGGCGCTCCTGGCCCCGGGGACCTTCAGGGGCCCTCTAGGGCCTCGTCGTCGAAGTCGTGATCGAAGTCGGGGTCGACGTCGGCGTCTTCGTCGTCGTCGTTGTGGTCGTCGTCGACGTCGTCGTCGTCGTCGAGTCGTCGTGTCGTCGTCGCTGTCGTTGACGTTTCAAGGCTTCCTTGGAGGGCGATGCTGGCTAGGGATAGACTGAAACCCTTGAGAGGTCTGGGGGTCGAATCGTGGGGCAATCAAACACGATTCTGGGGCGAAGAACTGTGCAAGAGAAAGGGGGCCCGCGGGTTGAACAAAAACACATCGTCGAGTGCCTTGTGACCAGGTTGAATCGCAAGATCCCTGGCCTTGGCGTGAGGGGAGACAAAATCCTAGTGCACACGGATTCCGGGCATCCTGGGGCTTTCCCCATGGGCGGGTTTGTCATCCCGAGACGTTTTCTTTTCATGGTCCCGGGTCCTGGAGAGGAGTGCCCCCGGAGTCCGCAATCGGCGAGAAACCTCCAAGATCCATTTTCCTTCAGGACCCCTGGCGTAGAACAGCAAACAGACATACATGTAAACATTCGGAACTCCGCACGGACTCCTTGGGTCAGCACTGGACACTCCTCCCCTGGCGCACGAATCGCGCCAGGGGCGTGGTCGAAGGTGCAGCCAGGAGGGGTCCAGCACCGACCCTTGACAGCCGCGCAAAACTTGGAAATTGCATGTAAACCACGATGTCCGTCATGCTGGCGAATCGCCAGCTTGCTGAGCACAGACGCCTCGGAAAAAACACACACACACACGGGCGGCAAACATATGATAAACTAGTGTGGCGCTGAAGCCAGAAACCACATTTTGGAAAGGAGTCGCCATCCATCCGAGAAAGTGTTTGAAGCTGTTAACACGAGCGTGCGTGGCGCTATTGCGACACCAACATGTTGAAAACCACCTGCACTGCATCAATGAAATTCTTGGAAACTTTCGAACCGAAGAGGCGCCAACGCAAGAACCGCATTTTGAAGAGAACCGCCATCCGTCCGTGTTACTGTTGGATATCTCAAGCTTCGGGGTCACTAGCGAGGAAGACGTCTCGGGCGAAACGCCAAGTCCACTCTACCGACACGTCTTGTGGTCAGACGAGGAGGAGTTATCTATAAGGAGAACACAAGGAGGAAGAGGAAGGGAGAGTAAGAGAAAAAAGGAGCGAGGAGAGGGAGAAATGAGGAGCGAAGAGGAGGAGGAGGAGGAGGAAGAGAATGAGGAGGAGCAGGGACGGGTGGATCGAAGTACTTGATCGACCTACTGGATCAGAACGGTAAACCGAATTTTGACAACTACTATAACACCACGGGTTTATCGTCGCCAATCCATCCGTACAACAAGCGTGGGCCTGCAGTGACCATGCAGGGGCAGCAGAAACATGCACGTGGTGAGTGCTAATCTTGAAGTGCTGGCCTAGGCATACGACAGGCTTCGAGCACAGTGCATACATACATACCCTTTTTTCCGCTGCCTCGACTTACATGCCGTACTAAACCTCTTCATGCCTCCTGTGCCCCAGGATTGTAGGATTGGTTGGACGGGGCCCCTCTCCTCCTCTTCCTCCTCCTCCTCCTCCTCTTCTTCTTCTTCTTCGTCTTCTCCTTCTTCTTCTTCTTCCTCCTCCTTCTCCTCCACTTCCCCCTCGAAACGCGAAAAAATACACACACGCCTCGGCGGCGTCCGAGGTTGAAGGGGGGCGCGCCCCCGAGTGCACGTTCGCGCGCGCGCGGCGCGGCGCGGCTCCGGCAAGGGGATCGCTGCGCAGCGCTGCGGAGAGTGGAGGAGGAGTTCCTCCCCCCCCGGGGAGGCGTAAGACTCGGGCTCCTCGATGCTCCTCGATGGTCCTCGCCGAGGAAACAGCGCACACGTCCGAGCAATGTCAAGATTCATTTCTGGCGCCGCGATGCTTCACATCGAGCGTCTTCGACTGGGCTCGGGCCCTACCAGGCCCTCGCAGATCGATCCGGCTAGACGTGCCGCAGAGAAAGTTCGTCGGGGAGACGTAAGACTCGGGTTCGGGGGACTCGGGTTGGCCTGACGGGACCATCATGAAAATGACGAGACCCAATATGAAACTTGACGCGAGCTCCCGCTGCAAACATCCTACGAGAATTGAACCGTCAAAATCCAGGACGCGCTCGTCAAAAAGCGTCGGCAAACCCGATGTCCAGCGTACTCGAGCCTTACGTTTCCCCGATCCCTCCCTCGTCGTACTCGTCGAGGCAGCCCCCCAGGCCGAGGCCCCGGCGGCTGGAACGGCGCCCTGGCCCCAGACCTCAGGGACGGGGGCCGACACCGTGGTCGACGCCGCCGTCGTGGTCGAGTCGTTGCCGCCGCCGCGGTCGTCGCCGTCGCCACGGTCGCCGTCGTCGCCACCGTCGTCGCCGCCGCCGTGATGGTCGTCGCCGTCGACGCCGCGGCCCCTGTGGTCGTCGTCGTCCGCCGTGGTCGCGGTCGCTGTCTTTGACGCGGTCGTCGTCGTCGTCGTCGCCGTCGTCCTCGTCGGCTCTCCTGCTGCTTCCGCTGCTGCTTGTCCTCGGGGGAGGACGAGGGACGAGGGAGTAGGTGAGGAGAAGCAAGGAGGAGGAGGGGGAGGAGGAGGAAGAAGGCTCTTGACTCTTCACCGCAGCAGCGTCGTGGCGAATACGTGGCGTGCAGCGGCGAAGTGAGCGCAGCCCCCCTGTGAGCAACGAAGGCAAGACACTCCTCAACCCTACCAGTACCCCAAGGATGGAGGGAGGAGGGAAAGAGGATGGACGGGGATCGGACCGGGTCGACCGGCCTCGTCACGCGACCAGCTACTGGGGGGGTGCGGCACTGATGAGCACCACGGCCCAGGGCGCCCGCTATGCGGGCTCATTTCCCCCACAGGACCTGAAGCCAAGGCGAAAGAAACGTCCTCCTCCTCCTCCTAACAATGACGAGTGAGCGTATGGAGCCCTAGACGGACGGGGAGGCGGAAGGAGGATGGAGGGCCGCTCCCAGACCCTGCCTGCTGTGGCTGCTCCTCGACCTCCAAGCGCGGGATGGGGGGGGGTAGGCGAGTGGGAGGGGGACGAGGAAAGAGGGGAAGTTAGGGGAGGGGAGTTAGAGGAGAGGGAGGGATGAGAAGAGAGGACGGCGAGGAACAAGAGGAGGAAGGGGGCGGAGGACGAGGGGGACGACGACGAGGACTGCCAGGCAGCCCAAGAGGCCGAGGACATGAGCCCAGTCTGCGGACGCCCGAGTGCTCTCAGTCCGGAGGCCCTGACACCTCGAGCCCTTCGCCTCCCCGGGACCGACTTCTCATCCCGGATCCGCTCCTGCGGGCCCTGTATACGATGTGGCCCGGGAGCGGCTCCCGGAGGCCGAACTCCAGGAAAGCGCGCGCCAGGACGGAAGGCCGGCGGCGAGCCCGGGGAGAACGCACGAGGGGGCCGCGGGCCCTCTCATGAAGGCTCGGACTGCAGGCCTGGGCCTTCTATAAGAGGCCTTCCGCGCCGCCCACGAGGGCACGGGGACCCTCTCAGGAGGCGCCGAGGGCTTCCCGGAAGCCCCGCCGCCTTCTGAGCAGGCCCGCTCCTGCTCCCCAGACCCCCGGCGTCAGGATTTGTTCATGACGTCGACCCCCAGATCCAAGTCGTCTCTCGACTGCCCCGAGGCTCGGTCAGGTTCCCCGGTGGCCGAAAAGAACGAACCACCTTCCGTTCCTTGACTCTCTCTAGGGGGTCTGGGCCCCCTCGCCCCGGAGCTCGCCGCCGAGAAAAACACCCCCCCCTGCAGGCTCCCAGATTTCGGGCGGGTCGGTGTCCTTCCCGGCGGCGAGCCCCGGGAGAGGGGACCCAAACCCCCTCGAGTTACGGCAAAAATCACGACCTCTGCCTCTGGGGGCCCTGACCGGGCCTCGGGGCCGTGAACAACAAACGATTCGGGATGGAGCGCTGATCCAGGGGAATGGGCCAAGACCTATGGGGGCCGGAGAGCCCCAAATCCAATCGATAAGTCGGATCGGCGAACGAAGTGAGTCGGATCGGCGGCAATCGGGAGCCGAATCGGGAGAAGTCGAATCGGCGGGAATCGGTAAGCTAGTAAGGCCTCCATAGAGGGATCGGAACCCAAATTGGAGTCCGAAGTCGAATCGGATCAGAATCGGAATCCATCGAGATCGAATCGAACCAGAGGGGTCGAGAGGAGCCCTGAGTGGGCCAAGACCTCTAGGGGTCGTCGACATCACGGAACAGATCAGGGCGCTGGGGGTCGGGGAGCAGGGGCGGGCCGAGGGCGCTGCGATCGGGAAAGGCGCACGGGGGAGTGCCAGCCTTTTTGAGGTCTGGGGCGTGGAGGAGCGATGCGCAGGAGGGCGTCGTCGGGGGAGAGGGGGCAGTTGGAGGACCAACAAGAGGCGACGAACACATAGACTTTTGGAGGTCCGCGTGGATCCAAGAAATCCACGAGGACCTCCAACAGTTTGCTTATGCAGCGCCTTGCTGTTCGGGAAGCGGCTCCGATAACGAGCGGCCGTGGGAGGGAGGAAGGAGAGGGGCACGCTGGGTGCGCTCGTGCCAGAACTGACGTCCTGACCCCTCCCGCCCGTCCCTTCTGATTGCGCTGGGGTGTGCTGGATGACCTGGATCCTCACAATCACCCCATCGTTCGATGCACAAACAGAGGTTGCTTCTGTGTACATTGGGCGAGGAGGATAAGGAGGTGGCGGACGAACAAGAAAGCAAACAGAGGAAACGCAGGATAAGTAAAGAGGATGGGCAGCAGGAACAAGAACAGGAAGAGTAAGAGAAGCAGGAGGATCTGGAGCAGGCGGATAAAGGGAAAGGAGGGGTGGCCAACGACGAGGAAGGAATCGATTCCAGGAGTGTAGCACGCGCTGTGGCGACAGCGCCATTCTGAATGACGGGAGCAAGACGCCGACCCTGAAATGCGGCCAACCCTGCAGCGGGAGACTATCTCTTGAAGGGCCCAGGAGCATATCGATCGAAGCAGCACTAGGGAGTTCCACACAAGGAAATCCTGTGTGTGCTTGTGTTACATCAGCACGCGGGAGAGGCGGCCGCGGCGGCGGCGGCACCACTGGACAGTGCCAGGGTAAAGACGAGACTCGCACTCATACCGAATCATTGCGGAAGCGGCAAGGTACACGAGGTAATGGAACGTGGTAAAGAGCAAGAGACAAAGGCAACCTGCAGGGAAAACATGGCACAGAGGGCAAGGGCGGGGGAAAGGGGGTGGGGGGAAGATGGAGGGCGGCCATGTGGCAGAGGGAGAAGGGAGGGGTGGGGAAGGGGGGAAGGGTCAAGGAGAACATGGAATGGGGGAGAAGGAGAAGGGGGCCACGGGGGACAAATGGGAAGTGGAACAGGGGAACGGGGGTGTGGAGAAGGATGGGGCGGAAGAGGAAGGAGAGAGAGAAGGGAAGATGGAGAGAAGTGAGCAAGAGGGGCGAGGAATAGGGAACAGGGAGTGAGGAGGGCCCCTCACAAGATTACAGATCGGAGTTCTCGGAAGCGTCCCAGGACCCCCTTATGTCACAATTACTCAAGTTGACCCCAGCAAAGCATCCTACTTGCACGCTGCTAAGAGGATTCTGAGTGGCTCCTGAAAGGATCAAGAGAGGCTCTTGAGGTGGGCCTGAGAAGCTATTTGGAGAGCTCTGAGAGGGTCATGGAAGGCTCCTGACGGGGGTTATGAGGGGCTCCTCCTGATTAGTCCGCAATTTGTTCCTATTGCTTTCTTCAACATTCCCCAAACAGTGCTTGCACTTAGGCATCTTTACTTGTCCATCTAATGAATTGGTAGGGTCCAGCGCGGATGTTCCACGTTGCCGCCTCGTTGCCTCCTCGTGTGCTGGGTGGGTCTGGCGAGGTTTCGCCACGTTGCCACCCGTTGCCGCTTCGTTGCCGCCTCGTGCGCTGGGTGGGTCCGGCGAGGTTTAGCCACGTCACTGCCCTTCGCCGCCTCGTTGCCGCCTCGTGCGCTGGGTGGGTCCGGCGAAGTATCGCAAACGTCGCCACGCGTTGCCTCCTCGTTGCCGCCTCGTACGCTGGATGGGCCTGGCAAGGTTTCAAGACGTTGTCGCCTGTTGTCGCCTCGTTGCCACCTCGTCCTCTGGGTGGGTCCGGCGAGGTTCCTTCACGCTGCTGCGTGTCGCCGCCTCGTTGCTACGTCGTTGCCGCATCATGCGCTGGGCGGGTCAAGCGAAGTTTCGCCACGTTGCCGCCCGTTGCGGCCTCGTCGCCGCCTCGTGCGCTGGGTGGGTCTGGCGAAGCTTCGCCACGTTGCCGCCCGTTGCCGCCTCTAGTTTGCACCACGTATACGAGTTCCCCTTCAAGGGAAATAAATGCCGTCTTCTGCCCAAGCCCAGACTTAACCAGATGCTCTAGGACACCGCAATTTACATATGATTCTGCCACATCGCTCATTTTCCAGATTCCTTGTCAAATGCTATCATGCGCGCTTACTTGACTATGCCAAAACATAATTATCAAATAATCCCTGTGCAAGAAATAACGCAACGTCCACACGAGTGCGCGAGCATGTCAAACACAAACAACACGCATGTGTTCTGCAAGCGTGTGAACACAACTGTAAACAAATCAAAGTTCTGTCATCACAGATCTTGCAGATGTTCTGCCCGCGCGCAAAGCTGAAATCGCATGACGACCAAATGGCTTCAACAATCTTGTCCCGATCCCGCGCTCTCAGCTGACAACGCGGTGCATCCGCGTTGATCCAGCATGCGCTCAGCGCATGATCCTTATCGACTAATACCATGCGAACCACACGCACGCGTCGCCACGCACGCGTCGCCACTGCGCGCGCACTTCCTCACCATCACCCTCATCAGCGCCATCGCATCACCGCCGTTATCGTCATCGTCAATCGCCGCCATTGCCACCATCATCAGTCAAGCACCTTCGTCACCGAGACATGGACATCATCATCGACATCCTCGTCGTCACCAGCATCGGCGCCGTCATTGGCCTTGCCGTTGTGATCGTCATCATCGGCACCACATTGCTGCCATCATCGCCGTTGCCACCGCTGTCGACATCATCATGATATCGCGCCCACCCGAGTCACCGACCCGCACTGACGCGCCTGAACGCCAGCGCGGCCTCTGAGACACGCTGGAAAATTCTCATCGGCCAGCACCATCGCGGCCGCAGCAATTCTGCCAAGCCATCTGGACGATCTGCGCGCGAACTTGCGCGAGCGCGCCAGCGCGGCCGCAAAGATGCGCCAGCAAGTGCCAGTCTTCACGTCAAACGTTTTCGTGGCCGATGCTTGCTCGAACAAAAGAACTACCAGCTTCAAACCCTTCGTGGTTAACTGCACCATGTAGCTTGCACCACACAGCTTGCACTTCCACAATGCAACAACTTACTGTTTGTGGCCCACGCTGGCTATCATGTGAATGCTGATGAACAGCTTGTTTTGAAACGACTTTGGAAGTGCTGTTAGCATGGAGGCCCAATGATTATCGCATTTGGTTCATTGTTGTTGACAACATAGGCCTCACATCATGCATTTTGCCTGGCACATTCGACATGCAAGCCGTGTGGTGTAGCAGCAACGAGTCGGCAATGGGCGGCAACATAGCGAATCCTCTGCAACAGCCCACAGGCGGCAACGAGCAGCAACGTAGCGAACCCTCAACATACCTTCGCGAGGCGGCAACGAGCGGCAATGTCGGGAGTCCTCGGCATGCCCTCGCAAACGGCAACGGGCGGCGACGTGGCGGATCCTCGGCACACCCCCACAGACGGCAACGGGCGGCAACGTAGCAAATCCTCGGCATACCCACGCAACGCATGAGACGGCAACGACGCGGCAACGAGCGGCAACGTCAGGAATCCTCGGCATGCCCCCATGAGTAACAACGGGCGACAACGTGGAGAATGCTCGGCGTACCCACACAGGCGGCAATGTTGCGCGAACGTGGCGAACCCTCGGCGTACCCCCACAGGCGGCGACGGGCGGCAACGTGGTGCATCCTCGGCACATCCACAATGCACGAGGCGGCAACGACGCGGCAACGGGTGGTAATGTTGCGAATCTTCGGCGTATCCACACAATGTATGAGGCGGCAACGGGCGGCAACATGCGGCAGCTAGGCAGCAACGGGCGGCAACGTAGCGAATCCTCGGCATACCCCCAGGCGGCAACGAACAGCAACGTGGCGAATCGCCAGCATACCCACACGAGCGGCAACGGACGGCAACGGAGTGACTCCACAGGCGGCGACGGGCGGCAACGTGGCGAATTCTCGCCATACCCACACAGGCGGCAACGGGCAGCAACGTAGCGAATCCTCGGCATACCCCACGTGCGGCAACGAGCAGCATCGTAGCAATCCCTCAGCATACCTACTCGAGGCGGCAACAAGTGGCAACGTAGCGAATCCTCGGCAACGAGCGGCAACGTGGCGGATCCTCGGCATGTCCACATCGGCGGCAACGGGCGGCAACGTGGCGAATCCTCGGCATACCCGCAAAGGTGGCAACGAGTGGCAACGTAGCAAATCCTCGGCATACCCACCCAAAGTACAAGGCAGCAACGACGCGGTAACGGGCGGCAACGTTGCGAATCCTCGGCGTACCCCACAGGCGGCAACGGGCGGCAACGGGTGGCAACGTGGCGCATCATCGGCGTACCCACGCGAGGAGGCAACGGGCGGCACCGGGCAGCAACATGGCGGATCCTCGACATACCCACATCGGCAGCAAGGGGCGGCAACACGGCGAATCCCCAGCATACCCCCACAGGCGGCAACTGGCGACAACGTGGCGAACCCTTGGCATAGCCACGCGAGGCGGCAATAGGCGGCAACGGGTGGCAACGTGGTGAGTCCTCGGCATACCCACCGAACTCCTTCGAAACATATCAGAACCCCTGAATACAAACACTGCTTGGGGAAAAAATGAAGGCAGCGCGCCGGTAGCGCGGGCGCAACCGCCGGGAACCTCCTGGGAGAGATTCTGGATGTTTTGCTCAGACTTGCGAGAAACCTCAAGCGAAAGGCTGTTCGGGAATTGGTGCGACTCTCCAGGGTACGATCACTGGCGGGCGCCACTGGCGAGCAAACCAATTCGGCCTCGATTGCGCCACTGAGCCAATCTAATCACTGGGCAAGCCAATCCGGTCTCGAAAGCGGCACTGGGCAGATCCAGCCACTGTGCAGGCCAACGCAGCGTCAGGGCAGACTAATCCAGACAAATTCTACCAGGGAACAGCGAGCGCTCTGTCACTGCAGCGCGCATCGCCCTTGATGCTGTCGAGGGGGCCGCCTCTCGCACTCAGTGCGTTTTGACACAACGGATTATATCCGATGTGTTTTTTTCGATGGCGCTGTTTTCGGTCCTTCCACCATTGGACCCCCGCTGCAGCGTTGGCTACGTTCCACGATCGGCGCTTTGTTCCCGTCGTTCAGTATTGCGCTCTCGCCCCAGCCCGGGCCACACTCCTGCAATCGATTCCTTCCTTGGCGTTGCCATCCCCCTCCTTTTCCCTCCTCCGCCTTCTCCTGATCATCCTGGTCCTCCTGCTCCCTCTGCTGCTCATCCACCACCTCCTCCTCATATTCCTCCCCCCCTCTTCCTCGAATGAATAAAACAATGTTCTGATTGCGATGTGAGGTAGTTTGGGAGATCAAGGTCCTCTAGGACATCCCAATCGGCGAATAGAAAAGATTTCAGCGGAATGGGAACGGATGGGTAAGAGGGTGGGATGTCAGATGGCGCGAGCGCGCCTTGACTGCCCCCCCGGCTCTCTCTTCCCCTTTCCCATGCCGCTCCCCTCTGGCATGTTCTTTGTCCCCCCCCCTTGCCCTCCGCACAGGCTGAAGGGGGGCCGTGGGGGGGTGGCGCAAGAGGGCATCAACGGCAGGGGGGGGGCCAAAGGGGGGAGAGAGGAAACCGAATCCTGAACCTTGCCCCGCAAGGCTCGTGCCGACCCCGTTGAGAAGCAGCTGGGAGGGGGGAGTTGGCGCAAACCGAGCGCCAGCACGAGTGCGAGCGACGTTAAGGCGAGAGCCATTGCGCTTGTGCTCCGGCCACTGCTTGCGCCAGTGCTTGTGGTACGGAAAACTGGTTGTTGCCGCCTCTGGACCTGAGTTGTCGCGCCCGCCGTCGAAGGTGCGGGCGTGCTCAACAGCGGACCACGTAAAACATCCTGACCGATGCACGTCTCACCGATCCAGCAACATTGGGGCTCGGAGTGATCCCACGTAGCATCCGATAGCTGAGGAGTGCGTGAGGACGGATTTCCTACTCCGCCACTTTCTGTGTTTCTTTATTGTTCTCTCTCTGTATTTGTTTATGTCTCTGTCTATCTGTCTGTTTGTCTGTCTGGCTATATCGTTCGATCTTTCGCTCTCGCTCTCGCTCTCATTCTCTGTTTTAGTCAATGTGATGGGTGGTCTCCCTCTCTCTCTCGCTCTCTCCCTCTCTCTCCCTTGTTGTATTTATAGATATATATATATATATATCGATTCTCTCTCTCTCTCTCTTTCGCTTAGCCTTCTTGGCTTAAGCCTCGGCTCGAGCACACCCCCGCGGTGCGCGTGCAGCCGCCAAGTTCCCCCCGGCCCGCAGGCCATCCTCCAAGTCCCCCTGGCCAGGCTGGATCCGCTTTCTGGGGGCGAGGCTGAATTACACATGCTATGCTTCCTCCACGCCGCGCGCCATGGCACGGGGCCCGCGCCGACGTGCCACACCATCGGTTCCGCCGTCGCGGGGCCCACGTGACACGCTGAGCAAACGCTGCAGTTCGCCCAAACGGACGCGTGCATCGACAACTCCGCGCTGGATGCGCTGACAGCGCCCCTCCTTCTACAGCTGGGATGACCTCACCATCTACTTCGGTGAGGCGGCGGAACAAGACTTCTGCGTCACACCCTCGCCGGTCCTCGACCCTGCTCCTGCTGTTCTGAGCCACGATCTCAGTGTTGATCTACGCCGCCTCGCGCAGTGGCCGATGGCGCACGCACCCTGCGGAGTCCCAGACGACGTCCGCGGAAACGCCCGGCTGGATCAACCCCTAGCGCCACCGCGCCCAGGCGGATCACAAGAAGACGTCCACCGGGACGTGCTTCTGTGCGAGCTTCGAGCCGACCTTCAAATTCTGCGTGTGCACGCCCGCGCGCTCCGTCGGGTTCTTCGCGCAGATCTGCAAACCCTCAGCGTCGTCCCTGCCGCTGCCCGCGCTGCAACTCCCGCTGGTCAGCCAGCCCCTTTCGCCGGGGCCGCTGCCGCCTGCGCCAACGGTCCCACCGACCCGCCCGCCCCAGCTGCCATGCGCAGGGCACGGGTACGCCCGGGTCAGTGGCTGGCGACGACGACGACCAGAACGACGACGACGACGACGACGACGACGAGGCCGTGGACGACGAGGACACCCACCTACCTTCGCCCGCCCGCCCTCACCTCACCACCCCAGCGTGCGCGGCCAAGTGCCCCCTTCAGTCTTGGGCGCCTCTTCGGCCGTCTTGGGGGGAAGCGTGTCAACGCCGAGGTCATTTGCTTCGTCCCTCCCCTGGAGCCCATCCCTAATTAGGTGGCGATTCGCCCCACCAAAACGTCATCACTCGTGCCTCGCTCTTTCCATCATCTGGGCAACTACGGGAACGGAAAAAACGCTTCAGAAAGTTGCCCCGACAGGGCTCATAGCACCATTCGCTGTTGGGAGCTTTGGCGTTCAAAGATGTTCCACGCCACCGTCCGCTCTCTGAAGGCTTTGTTTCAGAAGCTGTTCTCCTTCTTCTTCTTCCTCATCACCATCACCATCAACAGCATCATCACAATCACCAGCATCAGCATCATCATTATCACTACCAACGGCACCATCACAATCACCATCACCCTCACCATTATCATCATCAGCAGCAGCATCATCACCATCACCATCGTAAGCCTGATCACCATCATCATCAACGCCATCATCATCATCACCATCATCATCATCAACAGCACCATCATCACCGCCATCATCATCTTCATCATCATCACCATTATCATCATCATCATCATCATCATCATCATCATCATCATCATCATCATCATCATCACGAACTCCGTCACTATCATTACTACAACCATCGTCGTCGTCAGATCATCTTCATCAGAACCAGCATCATCCTCATCGCCGTCACACAATCATCAAGCACAACTTGATATCAACATCACCAGCATCCCTAACCCCCCCTCCTACTCGTTTGCGGCCTTCTGGGACTGATGTGAAGATCTTGGCCCGCAGGCGGCGGAGAAAGGTCCCCCTACGACCCCAGCGAAGGCCTGGATGCGCAGAATTCTCAGAGTCCTTGTGTACCCCCCTTGGGCCACTCAACGGTCTTGGCCGTCTTGGAGCTCTCTGGTGGGCCTCTTGGGGTTCTCTTGGGGCTCTCTTGGGGCCATTCTGGGCCGTCTTGAGACCATCTTGGGCCGTCTTGGGGCCATCCTTTCGGGGCGTCCTGGAGCCCTCTTCGGCTGTCTGGGGGCATTCTTGGGGCCCTCTGCGGGGCCTCGAGGGCCGTCTTAGGGCGATATTTGGGGCCACTTGGGCCGTCGTGGGCCGTTCTTGGACCGAAAAGCCAAGTACCTCAAGCACCTTCAAAAAACAAAAGGGACATCAATGTGTTTGGCCTCCTCAAGGCCTCTCGGGAATTGGCGTGCGTGCTGGCCCGTCTTGGGACCCTCTCGAACCGCTGAGGCCATCGGATGCCATCTTCGGCCCGTCTTGAAGCCTCTTGGAGCGCTCTTGGGCCGTCTTGGAGCCTTCTTGGGCCGTCTTCGAGAGTCTATTGGAGCGCTCTTGGGCCGTCCTGAAGCCGTCTTGAACCTCTCTTGGGCCATCCTCGGGGTATCTTGGGCCGTCTAGGGCGCCTCCTCGGCCGTCTTGGGGCCAAGGTCTTGGGGCCACCTGGGCCGGCACGGGAACGGAAAGAGCGGACTGAGGAACTGCCCCGAAATGGATCATGGCACCGCCCGCTCTTCGGAACCTTTATTTTCGAAGGTTTTTACGTCACCGCTTGCTCGTGGGAGCCTTGGTGTCTAGAGCGTTTTACGGTATCCCCAGGATAGTTCATCCGAAGGAAGCAGGCCAATTCCAACGATCATCCTGCGGGGCAACCCCATCCTACACCCATAGCTGCACGCAAACAAGTCCTGACACCCAGGCAACCCAGTCCTACACCCAGGGGCTGTCGTCTGCCCTCCGACGAGGTTTACAGCGACGACGATGGCGATGACGATCCTCATCCGCATCATCATCATCATCATCATCATCATCATCATCATCATCATCATCATCATCATTATCATCATCATCAGCATCAGCATCATCATCATCATCGTCGTCATCATCATCATCAGCATCATCATCACCACCATCATCATCATCATCCACATCAACAACACCATCATCATCGTCATCACCATCATCATCTGTATCATCATCATCATTACCGTCGTCATCAGAATCGCCATCATCATCATCATCATCATCATCATCGTCATCGCCATCATCACCACCACCATCGCCTCCATCATCACCACCACCACCATCACAATCATCGCCATTAGCATCATCACAATCATCATCATCATCATGATCATCACCATCACCATCGGCATCATCATCACCATCACCACCACCACCACAAGCACCATCACCACCACCATCATCATCGTCGCCATCATCATCAGTAGAACTAACCCGAGGTGGCACATGAGACCGTTCACTCGTGGACACCTTGGTGTTAGGAGCTCTTCACATCACTGTGAGCTCTTGGGGGCCTAGGTGATAAAAGCTTTCAACATCACCGCTCGTACTGGGAGCCTCGGCGTTCAGAGCTTCTCACCTCATCGGGAAGTTCTTGGGAGCCTTGGCGTTCAAAACTGTGTCCGTCACCGGGCCGTCCGTGGCCAGGAGCCTCGGCGTCAAAGCTACGTTCATCACTGTGACGTCGTGAGGCCTGGGGGCTCACACCACCGCCCATAATTCGGAGCCTTGGTGTTCGGAATTTGTTACATGCTGAAATAAACATCCAGAAAGAACCTTGCGACAATCATTGGGTTTGGCGTCTCCAGGCTTTCGTAAAGGGTCCTCTGGGGGGCCCTCTTGGGCCGTTTGGGGGCCCTCTGGGGCCGTCCTCGGGTCCTTTGGGGCGGTCTTGGGGAGCTTCGGCCGTCTTGGGGCTCTCTTGGGGGCCTCTTGGGGCCCTCTTGGGGCTCTCTTTGGGCGCTCCTGGGCATATTGGAGCCCTCGTCGGTCACCCTGGAGCCCTCCGTGGCCGTCTTGGGGCCCTTCAAGGCCGTCTTGGGGCCGTCTTGGGGCCCTCTCGGGGGCCGCTTGGGCCGTCTTGGGGCGATTTGTGGGACATCTTGGGCCGTCTTGGACCGTCGGAAGCACGCAAAAGCGAGAACTGGAACAGCCTGCACACACCTACGGGAAACTAATTGTTTTGCCATCCTGGTGCGCTCTGGGGTCCTCTTGAGTCCCTCTTGGGCCGTTTTGGGGCCCTCTTGGACCGTCTTGAAGCCATCGTAGGCCATCTTGGAACGCTCGTGGGCGGTCTAGGGCATTCTTTGAGCACTCTTGGCCGCCCCCGAGACGTCTAGACCTCTGTTGGGCCGTCTTGGTGATCTCTCGGGCCGTCTTGAGCGCCTCTTGGGCCGACTTGGGGCCAGGGGCGCATGTTAACGGCGGTGTGCTCAGCTTCGCTGCTCCCATGGAACCCTTCCCTGGAGGGCTTCGCCCCAACAATACAACATTACCCGTACCTCGCTCGGTCCGTCATCCGCTCCGCCCGTCTCCTGGAAATCCTCCCTAAAAAGACTTTCGCCCCACCAGAACGTCATCACTCGTACCTCGCTCGTTCCGTCACCTGGGCCGGCACGGGAACGGAAAGAGAGGGCTCATGGCACCGTTCGCTCTCATGATCCATGGCGTTAAGATCTGTTTCACGCCACCATTCGCTCTTGGAGGCCCTGGTGTGAAAACATGTACACGTCATCGTTCGCTCTTGGAACCCTTGGCGTTAAGAGCTTTGTCGTGTCACCGCTCGCGTGAAGAGTTGTGTACGTCACCGCTCTCTCTTCAGAGCCTTAGGATTAAGAGCAACTGTTTACGTCATCGCTCGCTCTTGGGGGCCTTGGCGTTAAGGGCGCTTTCACGCCATCGTCCGCTCTTGGAAGCCTTGGCTTTCAGAATTTGTTGGACTCCGTCATCGGGCCGTCAGGGGGGGGGAGGGGGCTCCTCTGGGGGCTCGTTTGGGTGCCTTGGGGCTCTTTTGGGCCGTTCTGGGTACCCTATTGGGCCCTCTCGGGGGGCGTGCTCCATCTTGGGGCCCTCGTGGAGTTCTCTTCGGCCCGCTTTAGGGCCTTCTACGGCACTTTTGAGACTGTCTTGGGAGCCTCTTGGGGCCCTCGCAGGGTCCCTCTTGCGGCGTCTTAGGCCTGCCTTGCGAGCCTCGTGGGTCGCCTTGGGGAGCCCCCCCCAAAGGGAAACACTAAGGAACATCACTGCTGTTTGCCTCCTCAAGCCGTCTGGGGGGTTCTGTGGGGAGGCTCTTGGCCCGTCTTTGGGGGCTTGGCCGTCTTCGGGCCCTCTTGGGGCTTTCTTCTGCCCTCTTGGCGGCCTCCCATGACCATCTTGGGGCTCTCTTGGGAGCCTCTGGGTCCCATCTTGGGGCCCTCTTAGGGCCCTCTTGGGCCGCCTTGGGGTCTGGGCCGTCTTGGGGTTCTGTTTGGGGCTTCTTGGGCTATCTCGGCGCGATCTCTGGGCCTCTTGAGCCGTCTGGGGCCGTCGGGAGCCTGAAAAGGCGCGAACCCTAACAAAAAATCAAACACCAAAGCAAAACCGTGTTTTCGGCGAGATCCTCTGGGTGGTTCTTGAAGGCCTGTTGGGCTGCCTTAGGGCCCTCTTGGATCATCTTGGGGCCATCTAAGGCCATCTCGGAACGCTCTGGGGTTCTCTTGGAGCGCTCCTCGGCCGTCTCAGAGCAGACTTGGACTTCTCTTGGGCCGTCTTACGAATCTCTAAGCCGCTGTTGGGGGCCTCTTTGGCCGTCTTGGGGGGGGGGAAGGCACGCTACGCCAATGTTTCCCCTCTTTGCCCCTCCCCTGGACCCCCTCCCAAAAGGCGTCCGCTCCACCTAGAACGTCATCACTCGTAGCTCGTTCTTTCCGTCACCTGTGCCGGCACGGGAACGGAAAGAGCGCTTCAGGGCCTTGCCTGAGAGGGCTCAGGGCACCGTTCGCTCTTGGGAGCCTTGGCGTTGAGAGCTTTTTCACGCCACCGTTCGCTCTTGGGAACCTTGGTGTGAAGAATTGTTTACGTCATCGTTAGTTGAAAGCTGCTTACGTCACCGCTCGCTCTTGGAGGCCCCGACTCGTCTTTGGCGGTTCTTGGCCCGAAAGGGGAACCCCCCAAATCTTGGCCCGAAAAGGGAACCCCCCAAATCCTCGTCTGGGCCTCGTGGGCATCCTCTTCGGGGCCTCTTGAAGCGTCTTGGGGACCCCTTTGGGGCGTGGCGAGACCATCAAGAGCCCTCTGGGAGCGCTCTCGGACAATTGTCGGGTCCCCTTGGGTCGTCTTGGGTCCCTCTGGGACCGTCCTGGGGGCATCTTTGGCCGTCTTGGAGGCCCTTTGGGCCTTCTCGAGGCCTCCACGGCCGAAGGGGCCGCCAACATGACCCTCGGAGGGCGTGTTGGAAATCGCGACGCTCTTTTTTGACGACGCAAATCCAAGAGGTCGTGCGAGCCCTCGCACAGCCTGCCACAACGGAGAGACTGGCGAGCATGTGCGCATAAGATGCAACATAAAACGCAACAAGCTGGTGCTCTTACCGTCATCCGTCTCCTCAGCCTCGCCCTCTGCGCCACGAGTATATGTATATATATATATATATATATATATATATATATATCTATACATATATATATATATATATATATATGCATACACAAGACTGCAGTGGCGCTTCGCGCCATGCACCTTGGTCCTTGAAATTTGGTTTGCAGGCGGAATAGCAGGAAGATCAAGCCGACAATTTAGCGATAACTCCTTGTTGCCTTTTCCGGCATCGCCGCTATGATAATGAGATTCGTTATCCTTCATCCATGCTTCTTTTTCCTCATTTTCGCCATACCCTGCGCATTCTCCCTATCCTCCTCAGCTTTTTGTTTTGCGGAGGCTCCTCCTGGGAGAGCCTCTGGGGGCCTAAAAAAAATGTCTCAGGCTTTCTTAAGGCCTTCTGGAGGCCTCCTGGGCGTATTCTGGGGGCCTCTGGGGGCTTCCTCGGGCCACCCTGCCTCCAACCACGGTCTCCCTGAACGACCAGGTCACGATTTGGAATGCTTCGGAGGGTGTCTTGGGGCCATCTTGGGCCGCCATGGGTCTCTCTTAGGGCCATCTTGGACCCGTGTTGTGCCGTTTTGGGGCTCTCTTGGACTGCCTGGAAGCCCTTTCGGATGGTTGTGGGGCGATTTTGGAGCCTCCCAGGTGGCTTCGGACGCCCAGAAGACCGCCGCCTTGGAGCGTCGGGAAGCGGAAAAAAGGAACATCCCAAAATTTACAAAAACAAAAAAAAATACCAGAAAATCAATGATTTTTGCCACTTGGGAGTGCTCTTGGAGGCCTCTTTGGGGCCGTCCTGGAGGCCTCTTGGGCCATCTTGAGGTCACGTCGGTCACTCTTGGAGCGCTCTTGCGCTGTCATGGGGGTCTCTGAGGCGTCTCCGATGACCCCCCTGATCGCCCTAGGTGTGCTGGGAAGGCTTGGCAAAACGCCATGTGAGGCCAGGGGGGCCGCTTCGAGGCCCGTCCGGGGGTTCCAAAGCCCCAGATCCCCGGAATCCGTTTTTTTTTTGGGGGGGGGGGTGATGGGTTTTCCCCCCGCCCGGGCTTATAAAAATATAAGAAGAGGAATACACAAGACTTGAAGCTCGCTGTGCTTCGCTTTAAAGTCTTGGTATAGTGCATGGTGGGAGCGATATGTGAGCCGAAGGCGGTCTTTGTGCTGGACCAAGATGCGTGGACAGGGCCAGGGAACTTGACGGAAACTGCAAGACACGCCGGCAAGTGGACGACAGGAGGGCTGGTGTCCACAACTTGCGGCAAGAAGAATTAGCCCGGAAGCTGTCCTCAGTTTCTTGTGGTATATATATATATATATATATATATATGTGAAGCGTTTTCGTCCGTGCCGCTTCAGGGCGCCGTGGTGAGCGCGGGCCGACCCACAGGCTGTGGTTAGTGCGGAGCGACCCGCAGGCTGCAGCCAATTTTCCACTCCCAAGACAAACATATTGCTGAGCGCCCAAATGTGGTTATGAAGAGGGGTGGAGGAGACGGAAGGCATCGTCGGTGGAGCTTTCGGGGTATATTGAGGTAGTCTACGGGTTAGTGGGCCCCATGGAGCCTTTTGGACACCGTTTTGGAGAAATGGAGACATCTGAAACGCCTTTGGACCATATTGAGGCCGTATTTGGCAGTGCTGGGTCCATGTTGGTCCGTCTTGGAAGCATGTTTGGGGGGTGGTCGGTAGCTCTGAGGCAGTTTTGGAGCTCAGGGGGCGTATGAGATTGTGGGGGCCTTCTGGGAGGTCCTGGAGGCCTCCTGCAGGGTTCGGAGGCATGGTGGGAGCCGCACCTCCCAAGATAGTGCCCTACGCCCCTTTTGGGATTCTTTCGGGTCTCTGGGGACTCCCTTTGGGCGTGCTTAGGGCCACTTGTGCCTTCTTGGACGCTAATGGACCGTCTTGGGGCCCTCTCGGGCCGTCGTGGGGCCCTTTTGAGCCGTCTTGAGGCCTTCCGTGGCCGGCTTGGACGTTGGGAAGATCCACGGAAGTTAACATGCTGAAGTATGTTTCCAAAGGGAATGGGGCAAATTTGGCCTCTTGGGGCCTCCTTGGGGGGCCTGTTGGAACTGTCTGGGGGCGTCTTGGGGCCCTTCGGCCTGTGTGAGGCCTTTCGGAGCGCTCCTGGGGCCCGCCGGGGGTGACCTGGGAGCCTCTTGTGCAGTCTCTCGAACTCCCTTTGGGCAATCTTGGGGCCTCTTGGGCCATCTTGGACGCCCCTTGGACCGTCTTGGGGTTCTCTGGGGCCGTCTTGGGGCTCTCTGGAACCGTCTTGGGGCCTTCTTGGACCATCTCGGACGTTGGGAAGATCCACGGAAGCGAACCTGGTAAAAATATACGTTTTCCAAGAGGAATGGGGCGATTTTGGCCTCCCGGGAACTTCTTGGGGGGCCTGTTGGAACTGTATTGGGGTGTCTTGGGGGCCTTCGGCCTGCATTGAAGCCATTTTGGGGCGTCTCGGAACGCTCCTTGGGCCCTGCCGGGGTGACCTGGGAGCCTCTTGGGCAGTCTTGGGGCCTCTCGAGGTGACCTCGGAGCCTCTAGGGCAATCTGGCAGCCTCCTCGGGAGGTCCAGAAGGCCCGAAAAGTGCCCACGAAGGGGTCGCCGGAGCCGTCAAAATTCTTTTGGGGGGGGGTCGGGGGGGGACCCATCCTTGGTGTCAGATAGTATGAATAGGAATGTCTACACACAGACACCCTCCGACGAACTTTGCATGTACCTCCAGGGCGGGGACGGTGTGGAAAGTCGCTGGCTCTCGGGCCTTCCCTGAGGCCCAGGAACAACCCAATGAAAGGTGTCTCTGTGTATTTGTCTTTGTGGCGGATGCTCCTCCTCTCTCCGCTCTGCGATCCCGTAATCAACACAATATCGCGCCCGCGAGCCCGCGTGCACCTCACATGCGCGCTCCTGCGAGTGGCGCCCGTGGCGCACCCTTCCAGGCGCCACGAGAAAGCCATGTGGCGAAGAGCACCGCCTGACAGAAACTTAGGCGCGCACGCAATCACGACCCGTGCGTACGCATCACTCCCCCCGGTCCCTGGCTAAGCCTCTGGCTGCGGCGGCGTATTCTTCGACAGGGTGATCTTCAACACCGCGGTCTCGTCGCCCGCGTCCGTGCGCCGCTGAGAGCCAGTGTTGGAGAAACCAACGAGGAGGGCCACCTGCCCTGCGGTCGGGAGCTTCTGCTCAGCGTGCCGCTGCGGTGGCCCCGGCGACACGCTGTGCCTTGCGAGTGGATGGCGTGTCGCCCCGCTCCGCGGGGCGGGAGGCTGGGAAACGGGACGTTGACGCCTGGGGGCCCGGGTATGGATAGCGCGTCGCGCCGAAGCGTAGTGGGCCAAAACCGGCAGAGCGACATACTAAGCCAACGTTGCTGACAGTAAACCCATCCCTCCCAGAGCCATCAATAGAAGCCTCCTAGATGGGATCCGAGTAGATGGGATCGGATGATCGCGCCGCATCGCCGATGCCCCGGCGATGCATCGACGACGCCAGCGGTGCATCGGCGACGTCGGCGTGTCGAAAATCGGGCTCCGCATCGAGCCGCGTCGCCGATGCGGCGCGATCTCTCGACCCCATCTACAGCCAACCCAAAAAATATCAGGATGCGCGGTAAGGATGCGGGGGCCTTGGAAGGCCATCTCGAAGCTTTGCGAGCGGGGCGCGGCCAGCGAAAGCGGTCACGGATGGACAGAGGAGGCAAGGATGCACAGGTACCCTGGGGAAGGTTGCCAGTCCTTGCTATTCGGGTTGGCTGTACTCGGACTTCACTTGGGAGGCCTAGAATGCCCAGAATCAGAACCAGCAACCTCTGCACTCGCCCCCTGCTGTGACGACGAGCGACCAGAGCCGCCACGGCGCGCGGGCCCGACGACGAGCTTCGTGTCTGTACAGAGGGCGGCTGCGGGTGCGTCCTCACAGGATGGGCCTGCCAAGACGGCTCTCGTTGCGAAGGGAGCACGCGTTTGTCACCTCTGCGTCGCCGACCAAGAGCCTAGACTTCGCTGAAAACACTTTTGGTGATCCTGAACAGGCTGGCTGTTTGGTCACTTGGGTCCGTGCGCTGTCGAGGGCCGAATAAACCTTCCGAGCAATATGCGCTCACAGAAAGCAATCGACGGGTAACGATGTGGTGAATGCGACGATAACTGAATCGCAGTGTCCTATAATTCACCCGCAAGACTCAATCGAACGGACCATCCGCCCGACTCACGCGCGACCTTACGAGACGGCACTGCCGATGAGCGTATAGTTCTACACTTGCGCTGGAGGGCACTTGCAGTGTAGGCGCGCGCTCGAAATAACTCGCTCCTACGACTGAATCGCCTCTCTTTGAACGTAAGTGGCCCTCGGGAATTATTCCCCACATGTTTCGTGGGGTTCTGGTTTTATTTTTACCCGCGTCACCCGCGCTCCTCAATCACACCCTGTCCTTCTCACCTCCGCCCGCGCACAGCACTGCTCAGCACAGCCCAGCTCAGCTCATCACAGTTCATCTCAGCACACCACAGCTCAGCACAGCACAGCACAGCACCTCAGCACAGCACAGCTCAGCACAGAACAGCACTGCACAGCACCAGCACCTCTGGGCACCACAGGGGGTGCGCAGCAGGTGGTCCCTGAGCGCGGCCGCTATCTACGACACTGTCGCCAAGCCTAGCAGGCGTCTGTCGACACCACAAGGGGTGCGCAAGGGGGGGTCTCTTACCGCGGCCGCTACGCGCGCCTCACGTCCAGGGCATGGCAGGCGCGGCGATTTCTCGACACCAGACGGGATACGCATGGGGTGGTCTCTCACCGCGGCCGCTATGCGCGCCTCTTGTCCAGGCAAAGCAGGCGTGGCACTTTCTCGACACCAGAGGGTGTGCGCAGGGAGTGGTCTCTAACCACGGCCGCTATGCGCGCCTCTCGTCCAGGCACAACATGCGTGGCACTTTCTCGGCACTAGAGGGGGTGCGCAAGGGTTGGTCTCTCACCGCGGCCGCTATGCGCGCCTCTCGTCCAGGCACAACAGGCGTGGCACTTTCTCGACACTAGAGGGGGTGCGCAAGGGGGGGTCTCTCACCGCGGCCGCTATGCGCGCCTTTCGGCCAGGCACAGCAGGCGTGGCACTTTCTCAACACCAGAAGGGGGTGCGCAGGGGGTGGTCTCTCTCACCGCGGCCGCTACGCGCGCCTCTCGTCCAGGGCACAGCAGGCGTGGCACTCTCTCGACACCAGAGGGACTGCGCAGGGGGTGGGTTCTCTCAGAATGTAGGGCGAGCGGCATTTTCAGGAGAACGCAAGGGTGCACAAACCAGGGGGGGCGCTAGCATCATCATCTTCATCAGCGAGAGCTGTAGCCATCCTGGCTCATGCCGGTCACGCAGCTCGACAAGTAAAAGCTGGCGACCGCCAGAGGTTCTCCGTCAATGGTAAAAACCGGTCATAGCGCCCAAATGCGCCATCACCGCGTTGCCACCTTCGTGCGAGCAGCTCAATTACGCTACCGAGAAGCCCCACCTACTTATATTACACCTGGAGTCCTGATCGCTACTTCTACTACTTCTGTACCACTACTACTACTAGTACTACTAGTACTACTAGTACTACTAGTACTAGTACTAGTACTAGTACTA